CTCTCTCTCCTCTCTCTCTCTCTCTCTCTCTCTCTCTCTCTCTCTCTCTCTCTCTCTCTCTCTCTCTCTCTCTCTCTCTCTCTCTCTCTCTCTCTCTCTCTCTCTTGTGCACGCGTGCGAGCAGATGTCAAAGAGCGTGGGGAATGTGGTTGACCCGCTGGTAGAAGCAGACGATGTTGGCAGCGATCTGCTCAGGTTTTATCTTCTGAAGGAGGCACGACTCGGCAGCGACGCAGGTAATATCACACACACACACATGTAGGCCTGTTCGGTTCGCAGTCATGCGCACACTGAGACATGTTTCATTGCTTGTTCCTCGTGAACCATCGTGAATTCCATCCACTCATCCCTCGTTGCGTTCACCTGCACAGATTTCTCGCACAAGCGACGGGACGCTGCCATCTCAGAACTCGCAAACAACTTCGGTTCGTGCATCTCCTGTGTCCTGTTGATGTACGATGTCAGCAGGCGGAGACGTCTGTCCACTTGGCTGTGATGGCATCTTGCTGATCCAATGCACACACACACGCACACACACACACACACACATGTGCTTGTGGGAACCGTGGTGCCTGCAGGCAATCTGCTGTCTCGAAGCACGGGTAAGCGCGTGAATCCAACAAATACGTACCCACCCCTGGCTGACGTGAAGCTGACACAACGTGAACAGCACGTGGCGGATGTAATCAACAACACCCAACGTACGTGAACATGCTGCCTGGTTTTGCCTGATGGTACCTTGCCGCAGCTGTGAAGGGACAATGTTCAGCAGCACCACACATATCCAAACACCACGCTATTGGTCTCTGTCCCACCGACACACACTTGAACGCCCACATTCGCACAAACGCACGCTCACTCTGTCATTGCACACGCATGCATCAGGTCGAGTGCAAGAGCTGTACGCAAGCGGCGATGTGGGCCTTGGAATCGAAGAAATTTTGCACTGTCTTCGCGAGGGCAACAAATACTTTCAAGAGATGGAACCTTGGAAGCTGGCCAAGTTGAAAGGTAAGTCGCGTATCAGGCGTGCAAGCTCGTTGATGTTGGCCGCGCACATTCACGCACATTGCTTCCACGCCCCGTTTGCCCTTTTTCACCTCAGCTGACCGTTCATCAATACTTCACCGCTGCGCGTATCGGGAGCAGATGACGCCGCTGCGCAACACAGGCGCCTTGCGTGTCTCTACACAACGTACGAGCTTCTGCGCGTAGTATCGCTGCTGCTGTGCCCCGTCACCCCAGCCATCAGCGCCGCCTGCCTTGACAAGCTCGCTGTCGCCCCAAGCAACGGCTCGGCCTTCTGCCAATCCCTCGCATTCTCGTACAACAAAGGCGGACACGCGCTCAAGCCTGGCGCAATCACCCTCATCCAACGCAGATGACGCGCGCGCACGCACACACACACACACACACACACACACACACACACACACACACACACACACACACACACACACACACACACACACACACACACACGCACGCACGTCTCTGCACACACACACACACACGCACGTCTCTGCAGTTTGGGGTGTGGAGGTGTCGTTTATTGCTTTGACGGAGAGGGAGCAAAAAAGGGAACCAGAGAGAATCCATGTCAGTTGCCACGCACAAAGCAGTGCATTACGTACATACAGCACGTGGCACGACGGCCTGACACCACCCCAACAACAAAGCGCCGCCACCACCACCACTCTACCACCACTCTACCACCACTTGCAGAAATCATAGATTAAAAGCTGATCAAGCAAACAACCAGCAGCGCAACACAAGCGCACACATCGTTGTGAAAGGAACACCCAGTCAATCACAACACAGAACAAAGCACAACAATGGCACAAGGAAAGAAGGCACAGGTGGGCAGGTTGTGTACACAAGTGAGGAAATGAAATGAAACGCATGCAAGCGCACAGGAGCACGCACATGCACAATTGCAAATATAAATGCACAAGAACAAAAGAGAGGAGAGGGTGCTTGCTGAATAAGCAAAGGGAGCAGGCACATGGGCCGCACCAAACCAGCAAGCACCCTTCATGACCCAACGCATCAAACCCATCCAACAATGTCCGACAAATGTCGGCTATGCTTCAACGCCATCAACACAACAGCGTGTGTCATCACAACACCAACAACTCACTCGCAGCGCCTTGGGGCCAAGCAAGCACTGGTGTGACACGCTCATGGCTTCCACTCTGCAATTCTGTCTTCTTCCCCAACAGCAGCCAGCCATGCCCGAACAACGCCCATGTGCTCGCTCCCAATCTCATCATCATCATCATCATCATCATCATCATCATCATCATCATCATCATCCTCATCATCATCATCATCATCATCATCATCATCATCATCATCATCATCATCATCATCATCAACAACCTTCTCTGCCTTCTCTTTTTCCTTCCCTCCCTCCTTCCCTTTCTGCTCCTTCTCCTCATCCTGTTCCTCTTCCTTGTCATCATCGCCGGTATCGTCGTCATCGTCAGCGCAGGCACAGCCGATGCTGCTGTGATGAATGACCACGCCAGTGGGAGAGGCAGTGTCGCAGTTGAGACCGCCGTCACAACAGCACCATCCACTC